ATCTCCCAGTCGGCTGAATAGGAAGTTTTGCCGATCAAACGACCATATTGACATTTTACTTGACGTACTGGAAGAAAAACCATCGTCTGGCACAAACAGCAGTCCTTCAAAATCATCAGGTGGAGACTCAAACGGATCGAACGCTCCGCCTCCGGTTCCTCCTAAACCACAGGTTTCCAGTTCCCTGCTTTATTCCACTTTGCCCTCAAGAACCTCTGCGCGAGTAAGTTCTCTTCTTGTGTGGCCTCGCTACCAATGGTAGTGCAACTGTATGCGGTAAAACAATTGTCGGGTTATTCATCTGCTGGTTTTTCCAACAGTGAACTCTTTTCCTCTCGTTCTACGGCACCTGCCCCTTCTCCTCTCAAACGAAATTCAATTTGAACTTTACATCTGTTTCGCAACTCAAAAAACACTTCGAATGAGCTGTAAATCCATAGATCTGACGTTTGTTGAACGGACCCGTTTTTTATTTTCTAGTCCTTCACAACCTGGAAGTCTTTGAAGCTTTAACAAAATTTCCTCCATCAACTTCTGTCGGCTTCTTGTTGCTCCGTTTCTCGCATTGAGTATCGTGGGATTTTACGCTTGTACTTTCTAATAATCGACTTATGTGAACCGCTTTCTTAACGGAACACTGCAAATTGCACAGTGGTATTTGTTCATGGTCTGTTCACACCAAAGTAAACTCATAAGGTGCTAAATGAAAGGGGTTCTTGTATGAGCTTTGAAACTCCTGTCATGGTGTTCATGCATCAGTTCCATTAGCCACCACAAAGATTAATATGTTGCAGTATTCTTTGCTTTGTTTGTAAGCTCCTAAATCTTCTTCGTGGGTACCTCTCCTTCATTAATCGGGCATCTGTTCGTCGTATTTTGTTGTGAGGATCACACTGAGCGTCGATTGTAGGCGACAAGGTCAAATAAAGTCCCCGCATTCCTATTGATCTGATCCCAAACTAGTACATATACCACTCAGCTCTTCTGAGTTCACGTGATTTTATATAATTCGATAATGAGTTCTTGGCTTATTTATGGTACTAATCCCTTGTTCTCAGGCGGGTGAAAGTTAAATGAACAGCTAGTCTCTGTTTCCTAGGGGGGACATGATCAATAAAACGGTTACTTCAGGGATTTGCATCCTGATTACAATTAGCGCGAACATATGTGTCAGACAGATGAGGTATTCCCGTGTTTTTCTGAAAGTTTTCTTATCCAATGGCTAGTGCTATTGTTTTATCATGTTCCCCTATCATTTTATGCAGAAAGATTTTCGATTATCCACTCAGCGTGATCCAGATAACATCGATTCGGAATCCAAACATGCACTCCGTTCAGCTCTACCAACCACACCTCGTTTACCAAAGCCCTCTATATTTCCGGGTGAGTCATTTCACTGCTCTTCTGGCCGTACTTTTTGTCAGTTCTTAATTTGAGATTCTGGCGGAACAGCCTGCACATTTGAGCTCATTAGTATTTCGAAAATTCTCCTTTCTATTTCAACTATACCGCTATATTTCTTTATGCTGCTTTTGTGTTTCTTTCCTTGTTTTAAATCGAATAACAGTACAATCCACGCCCCCTCTGGACCGGTCACAACAATCCTCAAACCGTACGCTGACCAAGCCCACTGGAACAGACAACCCATCTGCAACTAATAATTTAACCGATTCCACCTCAGACGTATCTCGAAGCAGACTAGGCGATTTGCTCGAGGCTATTTACGACTGTGAAGCGGAAAGATCGGACGAGTTGACTTTTCGGCAGGGTGAGCTGATTCAGCTGGCTGCACGTCCAGATGATGATTGGTGGGTAAGTTTGGAAATTAGCTCGATCTTCACGCGACAGAAAAAAGCCTGTGTCTGTCGGATATGGATTCACAACCCATTTTGAATGCTTTGATACAAATTTATTTCCTAAAGGTACGATGCATTCGTTATTGCTTGCTGGCAGTGCTTTCACCCAGTTGCTTCCTCTCTTAGTCTCATTCTTTACTAGGTCAAATCCACGGTTAATGAATACTGTGCCGCGGTCTTTCTATTGTGTGTTCCGGTTAACTTTACTTGACTGACACTCCACTAGGAAATTGAATGTGATTATTTTAAGTCTTTTTATTGCTATATTTACGATTAAACCTTGTGTTATTCTACAGATAATTACTGGCTTTTTTAATTCATTGAACATATCTCTTGGGCACTGTAATCGGAATATTTCGAATGATTTTATCCTTCCTGTTTCGTTGGAACAGGTCTACTCGATTACTTCACATTTTCGATGCGTTGGTACAAGTGACTGTCGCTTAGGCCAGACACGTGAAACTTTTGATTGTTTCCGCTCCGCAGCTAACCGGCGAAAGAGCCAATTACCGATTCAGGTCTTTCTTACTACAAATTACACATGTAAATCTTTTATTTGACGTTCTATGAACGACCCTGAATGTTACATTGCAATCAACTTTGTGCTACCCCGTGAATCGATCGATCGGGTCATGTGATCGCACCTGTTATCCTGTTATTCTTAGACATCCGCGCGGCCTTCGACTCTGTCGATAGAACCGCTCTATGGAACTGTTTGCTGAGGAATGGAGTACCTGAGAAGTATGTGTCGATCCTCAAAGAGTTGTAACGTCATCCCTCAGGTCGGGTTAGGGCCTATGGCCAGCTTTCGCCACCCTTCGCCGTC